GGTTTAAATTGATGCGCATTAATTTTGAACGCCAAAAAGTTTTTTAAATTAATGTGAACGAATTTCCTTTCAAATTTGTTCAAATTCCTTTGAATCGCGAAATTACTTTGCATTAATTCGAAAGTATTTAAAAGTTCCAATGGGATCGTAAACAGTAATTTTTATTTCTTCACAAAAAAACCTTACCTTATACTGAATCAAAGGTGCATCAAATTAATCAAATCATACAGGTATTTGAAAACTCTTTTTTATAGAACTGCATCTGTGAGAGTGAGCCTTTTTAAATTATATTTTCTTATTAAGTTGTTGAGCACTCGAACCTGTGTCAATTCTACTTATTAACAATCATCACCAGTTTTTTCTTTAGCTCGACATTCCGCTTTGAAATCTAATCTACATAAATTCCAAAGTGAGTAACTGAGTAAAGGTCAGATTTTTTCTAATTGCAATTTTCCCTCTGTCCGGAATCAAACGATGTGAGATTGTAGAGAAAGATGTGGCCTACAAACTGGAAACGTAAGTTAAGTAATAAAGGTATGTGATTCTATTTTGACCGCAATTAGTGTTTGAAGTGTATAATATCTGTTCATTAGGTTTGTTTACTTTTGGCATCTTCACGTGGGCTCTTAGTTGATTTGGTTCAAACGCACGTCTGAAGAAGCGATCGCCTACATATGTGGCATTAAATTAGATAGAAAGAAGAGCGTTAAATTTAAGTTTCCGTTTTATTAGACAAGAGAATTGTACCTTCCAGAATAGGAAAATTAAGGCTCATCTCCAAGAAGAAATACGGCTTATTTCTAATTAGGAAAAGACTAACCTCTCATAATGGCTAACGAATAGACTTTAATGCCTCGCTCACTTTTCCTAATTCCAGAGAGTCCCTTAGTATTTGTCAGGGAGTTTTGTTAAGGGAAAGTGGACCAGGACAACGTTATAACTCGCCTTTCTCTCTGAAATGCCAAGATGTGCGGAAAGCTTAATGCCAAAAGAAACAAAACAATACAAACAAATAAACGGTATACTCTCCTAACGATATGTATATACGTGTCTCCAAAGAACCAAACAATATATCATGTAGTGATGACCACTGAACGATTGTGCTATCAACATAAAAATACAGCTCTACCACTCACAGGTACACAAACATATAACAAAATACTTGGAAAATTTCAACTTTTTTTTCGCTCCCCGCTCTTCAATCTTTAGAGAGTCGCGAGTACATGAAATCAACGAGCATGAAAATAGTCAACCATGTCAGAGAGAAATCTATAACGAGATAAAACAGAGAAGAAGAAGAAGAATCAAGCTGTGTGATGGAAAAACGTGAAAAGGCAAAATGAGACTAAGTTGAATTTTAAAAAATAAGGTATCGAAATAATAGATCTCAAATAAAGGGGCAAATAAATGATGATGAAAAGATGATTCATTCTATTAACTGAATCAAAGGTGCACCAAATTAATCAAATCATACAGGTATTTGAAAACTCTTTTTTATAGAACTGCATCTGTGAGGGTGAGCTTTTTCAAATTATATTTTCTTATTAAGTTGTTAAGCACTCGAAGCTGTGTCAATCTCACCGGACATAAATTCCAAAGTGAGTAACTGAGTAAAGATCAGATTTCGGGGTTCGAGCACAGTAGTAGGCCTAGTGTAGATAAACAAAACACAAAAGAGATTTTAAAATTACTTCACAGCAAAAAAGATTATCCTCTTTTTACAGGTAAGAAAATGAACGTTACCCATATATATGCAGACCGGAAAAACTAAAAAACTTAAATTTTAAATGTTCAAAAGTATTTTTATTCAAAACTGAGGTGATATTCGGAATCTACCGAATAATCTGCATCGAACAATATATAATTTGATGCGTTTTGAAAAGGAAGTCTTTCATCTAATGTTTAGTAAAAACTGGAGTTGATGGTGGCGCCTCACTAATTATTTGTAAATTATTGATAAAAATTGGTGCGAGGGCAACTCTAAACTTTGCCGAGGATAATTTTTGGGCGTGTAGAGCTAGGAGAAATAGCGGACTCCTAGAGTCCAAAGAGACACATTCCTTTTATCCTAGTTATATCATGCTGAAACAGGAAAACAAATATTTATGTGAAAAATAAGCATGTAAATAAAATGAAATTTCTGGTGATTTTTACAAAGTGGATTTTTAATGTTGGTAAAAATAACCTTGAAAAATACCTATTAAAAGTAAAATAAAACCAGTCTACATAAACCAAAGAAATTCAAAACGAAAGAATAATAATGGGTTTTTCTCCAAAAAGAAAGATCTATTTATTTTGTAGAATAACATTCTAAATAAATAATTGTGAAATAATCTTAGACAACATTTTTTGTTTCTTCACAAAAAAAAGCGACCTTACCTTATACCGAATCACATACAGGTATTTGAAAACTCTTTTTTATAGAACTGCATCTGTGAGGGTGAACCTTTTTAAATTATATTTTCTTATTAAGTTGTTAAGCACTCGAAGCTGTGCCAATTCTACTTATTAACAATCATCACCAGTTTTTTCTTTAGCTCGACATTTCGCTTTGAAATCTCACCGGACATAAATTCCAAAGTGAGTTAAAAAATTAAAAAACTTAAATTTTAAATGTTCAAAAGCATTTTTATTCAAAACTGAGGTGATATTCGGAATCTATCGAACAATCTGCATCGAACAATATATAATTTGATGCGTTTTGAAAAGGAAGTCTTTCATCTAATGTTTAGGCAAAAACTGGAGTTGACGGTGGCGCCTCACTAATTATTTGTAAAGTTATTGATAAAAATCGGTGCGAGGGGAACTCCAAACTTTGTCGAGGATAATTTTTGGGCGTGCAGAGCTAGGAGAAATAGCGGACTCCTAGAGTCCAAAGAGTCCACAGGAGTCGAAGGTAGGTATGTGACAGCTCATTTCAGTTCAAATGAACTGAGCTGGTCGACCAGTTCATTGAGCTGTGAACTGTTATAAGTTGGTCCCAAAAGCGGAGCAAAAGTGGTGTGGTTATGAGAACGACTCCCAAAAAACGAACAAAAGTGGCCGTTTTGTGGGAAGTGCTTCCCAAAAAAGAACACTTTTGCTCTTGGACTCCTGGACTTCCATGCGAGTCCATAGGAGTCCAGGAGTCCACTATTTCTCCCTTGGTGAACCACTTTCTATTCGATAGTTTAACGTTAATTCAAGTTGTTCTATTTCTTTTTCTAATTTATAACCTTTAATTTTTTACGGCCTCTCTTAAATTTCATCCGATCAAGTTAAAAATTTTACCAGAGGTGCTCAAGGTCATATTCCAGAGGTAGTGTTTGGGAAATTTTTTAAGTTCTTCCCTGGTCCAGTTATAGGAATAATACTGAAAAACGTCTCAAAAATCAGGTTGTTCACTCATAGAAACCCTATAACTCGGTAACGAAAAGTCCAAAATATACCTCTGTAATAGTGTCTTGAGTATCTCTGGTAAAAAAAAGAAAAAATCTGGAAAAAAATCTCTGGAAAAATTTTGAATGTACAGAAAATGAGAGAAATGTTTATGAAACAAAAAAATTGAGTTGTTTTAGGCATTTAAGAAAAAACTTCAAGTATCCATAACTTTTTGCAGAAAGGTCGTGGAATATTGAGAGTGGTCACACTTTCCTCTACATTGAACTACGATCAGCTCAAAATACGAAATTTTTTCAAAAAAGAGAGGAGCGGGGAGATCCCCTTAAAAAATGATCCTCTTAAAAATGATGTCCTTTTTAGAAAGAAAGAAGTTTACCGCAGTTTTCTCTGACGATGTATTTTAGAATTCGACAATATGTACACCATTGGATAGAGCAAGTTTTTCTGCATAAGCTCATTTATACTCTATTTTGGAGTCAAAAATCAATTATTTTAATTTTTGAAATTTATGTTTGCCTTTAAATCAAGAATAAATATCTATATACACTTACAAACATATGTATGAGTTAATACATCAAGAAATATTTGTGAAGTCATGACAAGTACTTGATGTGTTTCAAGTTTATTATCCCATTTAGATTAATTCCATACCATGATATCCAGTTCACCATAATACTTTCCTACACATTCCGGTATGCATAGAAATATAGTCACCTTGTTGATGAACAAGTGCCACTAAAAAAGCAAACAAACAAACGTCGCGAGAAGAGAGTCGATGACATAGAACATCGGCTTTAGTAAAATATATTTCATGTATACCGTATAAATTGAATTCTAATGAGAGTATACAAATGTCATTTGAGATATAAACTAAAATCATAAAATTTTCAATATTAATATATAGTCGAATACTTCTTATTTCCAGATTTTAAATCAAATATCATTAGAAATTAAAACACATCTTTCAGAATATCGTAGTGAACGAGATGAACAAGAGAATCAATTAACTGAATTAATGTTATTTACAGATTATCGACATACAAATATGATCAATTATAGTGAACAATCGGTACGTTACATGCAAATATGTCAATCACAATCTATAACTGTACAAAAATTAAAACGTAACGGAATGTAACGAAAACGACGGCATATTGCGATCCTCTTTTGGGGTCTCTCTTTCTGATTCTCTCTTCTGTGCACCGGAGATAAATCTTCTATTGCTTTCGTAACTAAAATCTTTCTCAAACGCTTATGGATAATGATTCACGAGCGAACCTCTCGAGGTGTTTAATCGCTTTTGAGCTAATATTTTCCCACAAGTAGGAGATCTCTAGACTAAAATAACCCTAAGATCGTTTGGTTATCTGAGCCTCTAGAGACGAGTTATGAATTTTTCAAGTTATTTGAAAATATCCTGGTTTCCAGAAAACCTAAAGCTCTTGAAATTCATTTTGAAAATTTTTTGACCACATCAGTCGATAGGCCGTTCAGTTCTGCAAAACATGAGATGCCAATCAACTTTTCATCCTATTAAATGACTGAGTTAGAGGCTTGAGTTAGAGGCTGAGTTAGATTGGCATAAATTGTTTGAGATGTTTTCACTTAATGCTAAATTTTTGATCCGCTTGGTATTTTCTTTAATGATGAAGAGAAGTATCAGATATTGGAAGATGAAATAGCAGAATTTGTATTTGATATAGAATATGAAGAAAGTCAATCATACGAAATGGCTGAAAATGTGAAAGAATACATAGAAAATAGAAACATCCATAAATTATAATGAAGACAAAGATATCATACAGAAAATATCTGATTACTACTACTGCTGTAAAATATTAATTCACAAAGTCGATGAAGAACCAACAATATTTCATACAGAAAAATCATGTTTACATGTACATATGGTACAATATGGAATTGGTAGTCCAATTATATAATGTTATATGTCTATAATTGAGAAGATGGATACAGCTGAGCCAAAGAATGGCAATGATAAATTAAACGCCAATAATCAGTCCAATAATAAAAGAAATTTAGATGATTTAAATGATGAATAAAAGAAGATTAAGAATATATCTTTATGCTCATATCTTTCTGTTCTCTCAACGCGCTGAGACGAAAAAATGTTCGCACATGGTATATCTTATATGGAAAGAGATATCGCCTTATTTCCTAGTTCTCTAGTGTAAATCAAATATAGAATGTATGGGTGTTCTATAGAACAGATATACAGAATCTAAATTCTCACATTAGAACTGGACCTGTACTACTCAATAAATGTTTCAATTTTTGGCTTTATATGCCGTTCGATGCAGCTTTACGCGACGAACAAAACGATCTATTGCTCAATTGTCATGCACACTATGAACACCGGCTGTTTTGAATATTCCTGTTAAAACATGACCTTTTCAGCATGGTCAGCGATAATATTTGTATTTTTTCAGCATGGAAGAACTTAGGTTGCGGTCTGCATTATGTATAAATAAGCTCCAGAAGAAGGAAGAAGTGGGCCCGGTGGCGACTTACGATCACTACACATTTTCTCACGGTAGAAGTGTCATATCTCTGTACGACGGTTCCTCAAGATGGAGTCGTAGATGCCCTTCGTAAAGTGTTTTGGCATTTAAAACTTACAAGTATAAGTAGTCTTTCAATTGAAACAATCCTTTAATAGACTCGATTTGTTTTGGAGAACATTTTTAGACGGTTTTTATACTGCCGACAAATCCGTGGTGAAGCAATGGGTTCACCTTTAACATTCACAAATTGCTAATGTTGACATGTTCTTCTATGAGCGTCCCATTGAAAAAATGATTAAAAGGCAAGGAGGCTTGAAATTATCGATACGTCGACGATATTATCATGATGAATACAGCTCCTCCAGAGAAAATCAAAGACTGGGTTCGCCCTTGGAATCGTCTCGACTCGAATATTCAGCTGACTGCAAGATCCGTCAAACTGTCGATTTTCTCGATATTCATATCGAAAATAAAAAGGAGTCTTTCACAAGCCATCTCATGAACCCTACTACTTATCTTTTTCCAGTATTCATGCGCTGCGCATTAAAAGGAATATTCCTTTTGGAACCTTAATACGTGCGATTAGGTATTCATCAAGTTTTGAATTGTGCTCAAAAGAAGAGGCGTATATAAAGTTGGTCCTTCTTCTGAATGGATACGAAACAGAATTCATTCAGACGCAATTCAAAAGAGTTTTCGAAAAATATTCTGTACAGACTCTGCATCCATCTAATTTTTCTCGATCCGAGAGGTTCTGTTTTAGGATTTTTTCTATACCAGAGATCACAATATTGCTCAGATTGATTATGAGACCTGATGCTATTTCATTTCACGTTCTGTGAGGGAATGGACAAGTTTGCGTCCCATTTTCATCGTTTATGGAAACAGTATTTTGCAGAGACACCCCTAGGATCTATTTCTCCTATTGTAAGTGTTCGCAATGCTCTCAATTTACAACAAAGACTAGCTAGAAAGAAGCCAGGATCTGATCTCATTCGATAGAGTAAGATGCTCTCATGTTCTTTTTAAATAACTAGCCATTTTTCATTTTGGTTCATTTCATACCTAGTGACTCAGACGTCTTATTAGAAGAATTATTTTTCCGTCATATTCATTGAGGAACGAAGATGTACTATTGTTGTTTTTATCTCGGATTTACATACTGATAACATGAGAAAAAGTCCAAATGAAAGAATAAAGATGAATACTGACATTAGAAAAACGACAAGTGTTTTGTACGACTTGTGTTGTATAGAAAAGTTTCATAGTTCGCTAAAATATTTGCTTAATTGATACAATAAGAAATAAAATAAGTTTTCCTGGATCAACAAATTTCTAGATACAGATAAGAACCGAGTTTATATAAAGCCTTCATGCTTATTTTAAGAGTTCTATATTGCTGAAAACCTGGACTATACGCTCATTGGCAAATATGTTTGAATACACATAATGAGAAAGTGAAACAGTTTCGTAAACATTAATTTATTGATAACAATTCATTGTAGTAAATATGGAGTATCGATACAAATAATAAGTGAGATATTATAAAAATAGCCTAAATTAAGGTGTGTCATAGAGTACAGCAGACAGACTCTAGGGAGTCGCATGTGTAATCGACTTTAGAATCAAATACTTGATCAGAAAACTGAAGAGTTACATTGACGCGGTTGAAATAATTTCTAACATTTTTTCGCCCCTATTGGATCATACGCGCCTATAATTCGTTCACTTTCGATCATTCTTTCTTCTGTGGCAATCCTCCTTCTCTTTTTGAATCTTGTTTATTCTTTGTCTCGGAATAGCACAAGCTCTCTTTGTCTCTTTCTGTCTCCCTTAACTATCAGCTACATCATGAGTTTTCTCTATTAGTGCCTCTCTAACAACGGGCTGCTCAAGATCCAACGGACAACAGTATCACGATGGATGGTCTCTGGAATTGGGATCATCGGAGCGTTGTCTTGAAGCATAGGCGGCGGAACCGTGGGGACGATGTCCCGACAGAATTCTCCTTTTAGGCGCGGCCCACAGCCTTCGGCTCCATAGATAATTCTGTAATTTACTCTTAATGGAAAAACAAAAGTATCGCAAATTATACTGCACGCGGCAAGCTTTGCATAAATTATAATTCGATGTTTTACTCAGTGTTGAATTTTTCCAGCAGGTCTCAAAAAAATTCGACTTCGTAAAATACATGTTTTCATTAATTTAAAATTGATTCGCTAACGGTTTGAGTTTTGACTGGACCCAATCATGAAGACGCATATTTCCATAGACAACGGAAGCATCCGAAATCTGTGAGACGGGGGCAGTCATACGTGCCAGAATATATGTATCTAATCTAAAGTCGATGCATCTAGATGTATCTGTTTTATCGTTCCTTCTACAATCCAGTAAATCTTTCAAATCTATGGTAATCCGTGATTTCTGCTAGAAGTAGAGAAGTCATAACTAGAGCGAAGAGACAGAAACGATGGGGAAAATGAAAGATTTTTATTTCGACTGTAAATTTCAATGTAAAGATGGAAGACGTATATATGTATTTGAAGTTGAGAGGAAAGAGATAAGAGAAAATACACAAGAGACATGGAATAAAAACATTCGTGTTCGCAGATGTAAAGATCCAGGATGTAAAAGATGGTGCTGACTGCACTCTCACCCTCTCTTCCCCCTCCCGCACCCACTCTTACGTACTATGTATGTAAGAGCGATTTGACCAGGAGACTCCTAATTTTCAAACTTTTCTCCTGATGAAATCCTCCTGATTTCAGGAGCCGATCTTTAAGATTTTCTTCGGATTTCTCCTGGTTTTAATTGTTTCCTGCATCGATTTTGTTTTTTCTAAAACTGTGATTATCAATTTCAGAAACAGAACTTCTGGATCAAGAGTCTAAACAATTGTACATTGAAGAGCTCGCTGTGTGCTTATCGAATATTCTTATCACATTGTTTTGTTTTGCTTCTCCAAGAAAAAACTGCCTGATACTCTCCTGATTTTCCTCCTGATTTTTTAGAAAAAATCTCCTGATCAGCTCCTGATTTTTTACGAAAAACTCTTGATTTCAAAAAACTGGATTTGGACACCCTGTTCAGCGCATCTTCCTCTGCTGAGAAATATAAAAATATTTAATGATTTGCCGAGAAGCTGTGTTACAGTAAGCTGATAGTAAAGGCGCGAAACTCTCATTGGAACTAGGTGCATTCATTCAACCCGCTGGTATGTCCACAACTCTTCAACGAAAAAGTGCTTTATTTTTGTTCAAAATACAAAAGTTTTTTGAAGACATAGCGGTGTTTTATATTGTTTTGAATGGCAAACTCAAATGAAGTTGTCTATTCAAGGAAGATATTACGATGCAGCCATTATTTAGCTGAGAAGAATAAAAGACTGCAATATTTTGTGGAGAAAGCCGTGTGAAAGATGATTTTCAGAAGTTTCCAAACTCGGTTTCATCCCCTCCCGTAGCTTATAGAGTAAAATATAAGGAAGTTTGCTATTTTTTGAGCTGGAAATATTAAAATTAAATTAAATTTTAATTAGTAAAAAAAAAGTTTTAAATTTAATTAAATTAATTTTTTAAATTAAAACTTTAGCGCACGGAAAAAAAGCGAAAAATCA